CCACATTGTAACGGACCAAAAATGCAAATGGTTACTTTTTTAATGAGTACAAATTACCCACAAATATTTTCTAAAATCAAGAATTGGAAGAATATGGATACCATTAGTAAAATAAACACGCAGATATTTTTGTGTTATTTATTCCAGAGATAAAGTTGTTATTTGTTCCAGAGATAAGATCCAAATAAAGAAAGAAGTGACAACCTGTAGGACTAGGAAACACAGTCTCATGGAGGCCTAGGGGTCTTTTTGGGTGAAGAAGTCAGATATTCGTCTATACCACAGTAAAGCAAGAAGATATTTTATCTTTAGTGTTCTGTGTACCCTTTTCCTGACATGCTCCTTTCTGCTTGTTTCTCATGGTGTTTTGCCTGGCATACCTCAAGATGCTTTTTATAATGGTGATGATGCCACCCTCCTGCAACCTCTTCATTTGGAAACCAAATAGCCGCCTCACACTCTAAGGCTGAAACAACTTATGAGTCACTCGCACAGGCTGTGAGAGCCAGAAGGCCCTTAGAAATCGCATCGCCCTGCCTTGTTAAGGAACACGTTAAGGGGCTAGCTTAAGGTCATGCCGTCAAAAGTAGAGCCAGCTCTAAATCCAAACTGCCAGGGCTAGTCAGAGGAAGGAAGCCTTCGCGCTCTGCTACTCTGAACTCATTACCTCACTAGCATGGCATAAAATGAGCTAAATATTTTGTAGATGTTTAAATAAATGGTAAAGGCTGGTAACATCTAGTCTAGTGATTATGACCTATCAAAAGCGAGACTCTAATAATTATCTAATAATGTTCATCTTTTCTAAAAGTTCAGGGAACTCAAGGACATATTATGCTTTATGTGTGTTGTGTTTAGTTAAATTTTATTATCTTTTTGTTCAAATTGTGGTTCTCTCATTTTTGCTAAACAACTAATAAAAGAGTCTTTAAAATCCATTTTAATCAAGGACAGGATATAAATGTTTCAGACTTCTGTAAACATTTAAAATGTAAATTCTATAAATCTCCAAAAGGGATTTGGATTAGGAAGAATTATGATTTGTAGTTGCTTCATATGTGTCAAATCAATTTGAAATAGACCTGAGATCAGTTTCATATACCATAAATCGTAACCATAAAACAGCTTTGTTAACAAATAATCCAAAAAAATCACATTAGGCCATTTATGGATAAATGATTTCCAACCAAGGGCTTGATATTATGTAGTCCCAGTTTCTAGAGGATTCTTTCCTTTGACATTAAGGACTGTATTTACTCTAAACATCGATTATAAAATTATGCATTGTTTAATTCTTTTTTAAAAGGGGTGCAAGCTGTGTCAGTGTTCTTGGGTTGAAGAGTAATTTAAATAAGCCCTTTGGTTTAGGTTGCATACAAGAAGGCTTTACAAGATCTAATCTTTTCTAAACCTGTTACGTTCTTCGGTTCAGCAGAGCTTCCTAATTGTAGCTATTAGTTCCCCTTTTTTTGTGGTCTGTTCTGTCAATAGACTACTGAGTGTTCAGTAAATTAAGCCCAACCAGCAGTCAATACATCGAGGCAGACGTTAAATCATAGCTTGGCTGCCCTTATTCATTATTAGTATCTGTGAAACAGCTTTTAAGTACAGGCACAGGATTTAACATGATGCACATTTGTGTCATTCTCAAATTTCCATCCTGTACAATCAGGTATGTGAGGGTTTTTTTTCTAGGCAACAGGTGTGTTCTTGGAATAAAGTTCAACCCCCACTTCTGGCTTATGGGAGAGGCAGCAGCTGCAAGCTTAATGCCAATGACACATGGTTCTATAAGAGAGGGGAAAAAAATAAACTACTTGTTCAGAGTATTAAAGTAATGGGCAGATGGACCATAGCTGCCTGTGCTTTTCTTTGTGTTGTGGAGTCAGAGTCTAAACTTTCAGATGACAAGTGTTTCTGTCTTTTTTCTCTCTCTTTATTTCTTACTTGAACTGCCTTTCTTCCTTCTTTTATTACTTCTTTTCCTTCCTTTCTTTCTTGTTTTAACTAGTGAAAAACATAAATTTATTTAAGCATTACCTACACATTATTGAGAATATTCCTTCATCTGAGTTATCCTGATTATGGGCTGATGAGTTTAATATAAACCAAGTTACACTTTATAACTCACTTCGTTCTAAAAGGAATTTAAAGGAACCATGTGCTATGCAATTTGAAGACTTAGCATGCAAATCCTACATTTAAAACAATGTAAAATTAAATATACTTATTTATCGGCCCCATTGTTCTCTTGTAAAAGGCTACCTAGAATTTCTGAGACACTCCTAATGAGTTATAATGTACTGTGTAACTCAGGAGCCTAACATGGACATTACTTAATAGCAACAATAATGATACAATAATTATTGTGATAGTGTTCAAGAGAGTAAATGTTCATCAATCACTCAAGCATTTTTGGAAGTGTATTAGGGATAATAGTCCTTCATATATGTTAGCTTTCAGAAATTACCATGCCTCAAAATATAAGAAACTCAGCAATTATCTTGCTGCATACAAGGTTTTTTGTAAACAAAAACACGGAGGGCAAAAACAGACTAGAGTAGTAATGATAAAGCTGTGTGATACACTTGAAGTGGACACGTCTTAGTGCACAGACTTTTCTGGAGCTCATATTTATCAGAGCTTTTCTCTTTTGCCAAGGAGTATTTCAACAGAAATAATTAATAAAAATGAAGATTGTGAGAAGACGCTTTGTTTCAGATGTGGCAAATAAATACACTGCAATGTAATGAGATAAGCCCCAGTTTAATTACAATCTTGGAACCTTTGCTATAACCAGAGTCACCAGACCCCCTGGAAGACCGGTGCTGGGTATTGCCTGTGATGTCTCACTGAGGGAGAAGCAAAAAGAGAGTCTTTTTTGTTTTTGAGTTGGAGTCTTACTCTGTCACCCAGGCTGGAGTGCAGTGGTACACTCATGGCCACCACAGCCTCTACCTGCTGGGTTCAGGCGATCCTTCCGCTTCAGCCTTCCAAGTAGCTGGAACTACAGGCACTATGTCTGGCTAATTTTTTTTTATTTATTATAGAGATGAGGTCTCACCAAGTTGCCCAGGCTGGTCTCAAGCCTGTGGGCTCAGGCAACCCTCTCACCTCAGCCTCCCAAAGTGCTGGGATTACAGGCTTGAGCAACCAAGCCTGGTCGCGAATCTCTTTTTATTTTTATTTTTTAACCCAAAACCACAACTTTATTTCAGATTTTCTGTGAATCTATGCTGAAAATGGTTTTGCCAGGATTGTCTCACAGCTGAGAAATCTATAGCAGACAGATTTGGAATTTAATCCTCTGAGAGAAATAAATATCAGTAAAAAAGAAGAACCTGATGACAGTCTTTTTAAAAATGTTTTTAACTGGCTTGGCTATTATATTAGATGTTCACCAAATGCATGCCGACAATTATTAACCACAGGAATGGTGCTAATATTTTTAAAATATATGAAATGTGTCTACATTTGGAAGGCTAGCTTAGATATCTTTAAAAGTCTCTTCCAATCCACAGATTCTCAAATTTTGTGATTTTGCTTTTCTTCAGGCTGCACTTTAAAAGAAAATTGTGCTAAGATACACATAACATAAAATTTACTATCTTAACAATTTTTTAAGTGTGTAGCTTGGTAGTGTTAAGTATATTTACGTTGTTTTACAAACAATTTCCAGAACTTTTTCATGTTACAAAATGGAAACTCTGCACCCATTAAAAAACTTCCCAAACCCCTGCCCCCACTCCCAGCCCATCCCCTGGCAACCACCATTTTACTTTCTGTGTTTATGAATCTGACTACCCTAGGTAGGTCATATAAGTGGAATCATACTGTATTCGTCTTTATGTGTCTGGCTAATTTCACTTAGCATCATGTCCTCAAGGTTTGTCCATACTGTAGCATGTATCAGAATCTTCTTTCTTTTTTATGCCTAAAAATATTCTACTGTGTGTGTAGACCACATTTAGTTTATCTGTTGATTCACACTTAGTTTGCTTCTACCACTTAGCTATTGTCATGGATGTCTCTTGGAGACCCTGCTTTCAATTTTGGGGGTTACATATCCAGAGGTAAAATTGCTGGATCATATGACAACTCTGTTTTTAATTTTTTGAGGAGCCATCATATTATTATTCACAGTGGCTGCACCATTTTACATTTCCACCCACAGTGCACAGGGGCTCCAATTTCCCACATCCTCGCCATCACTTGTTACCTTCTGTTTTTCTGATAGTAGCCATCCTAATGAGTGTGGGGTGATAGCCTCAGGCTGCACTTTATGGAGAGAAGAAGGGTGACTGGTGACTGTGTCAGCTCAGCCAGAAGATAGATAAAAATTGCCCAAGTCTTCTGCCTGGAACCTCAACGGTTTTCCATCACAGTCAGAAAGAGAGCCAAGTCCCTTACTGTGAATGAGAAAACCCTATTGTGCTCTGACCCCCTGCTACCATTCTCCCTGGCTTTCTGCTCTGCTGAGAACATGCCACGCTTGTTCCGTCCCCTGGGCCTTTGCTCTTGCTGTTTCCTCTGCCTTGAACTCTCTTCCTCACATCACTCCAAGGCTCACTTTCCTTCTCCACTCAGAGCTCTGCTCAACCATCACTTCTTCAGATAAGCCTTTTGATCTCAAGCAACATCCTTGCTCCTGACACTCCCTCTATTTCAATATCCTGTTTTCTCATTTCTTTTGTCATACTTAAGGCTGCCTGAATTCATTTGTACATTTGTGTATATCATCTGTTTCCCAGAGTGAAGTGAAAGTTCTGTGAGGGCAGAACTTGGCCTCTCTTGCTCATCCCTACACTCTCAACTTCTAGAACAGTGCTGGGCAATACTTAGTAGGAATATTTAAATGAATAAATGCATAAAGGAATGTTTTCACCACCAACTGCTTTGCTGGAGTTAAAAAACATAAAGAAAGATCTCATCACACCATTAGAGTTGTTACAGACTGGGCTGGGTAAACCCTCCAGGCAAGAGGGGAGGAAAGTACTCACGTGAGTCTCCACATCACCAGCAAGGATCCTACTGTTCTTTAAAAACTCGGCCACCATACTGTTCATCAGTTTATCAAAGGCTTCCACGGAGGGTGCCACACCTTTGGGAGAGGAGCATTTTGTTACTTGGTAGTTTAATAAAAAGCAGACTGTCTTGTCTTGCCATTGGTAATATAGAACTTTAATATCATCAATGTTATTTTCACTAATTAATTCACTAAGTCATTCCTTTACTAAATCAAAACTTAGTAAATATTTCTCAAAGGGTTGGGAAAGCATTATCTTTCTATTTTTTATCCTCCTGCATAAAGACATTTACCTACATCATTTCATTTCATTCTCTCTGAATTCAGTGAGATAAGTAGCACCATTACAATGTACAGATGAGGAAACAGAGGAAAACAGTGACTGGGCCAAAGTTCTGTACCAAATAAAAGGCAGATCCAAAATGTAATCCAGTGGATTCATCCAAAGCCAGTGTACTTTCTTCTATAGTGACCTGCCTGGGTGCTAGAACAACCTTACAAATAGTTACCAAGATTACCCAGGGCAGTTAAAAGATAATAGTGAACTTGGGGCAAGGAGAAAAAAAAAAGCTGATTTCATTCATTCTGTTCCTTCTTCACTCCCAAGGGGGAGGGGATTCAGCCATGGTAGAGTGAAAATGCCTGCTGAGCCAATACCTGTGGAGTTTGGAGTTACCAAATTATTATAAAAGTCGAAGTGACAACTGCTCAACCGGTGTGCTCTGCATTTCTTTCTCTGCCTTTTAATTAACAGGAAAAAGAAAATCTAAGTATCTGATTTCATGTCTCTAATATTGAGAAACTCAGCATTACAGACTATTAAAATCCTAACCAAAACCTAGGATTATCTCTCTCATATTGCAGAAACATGTCCTCCATGCGCACAAAACTATAGGATATGTTTACTTCTTTTTCTCTTTTGTCTAAGTGCTCATTTCCACAGGCCCAAGGGGTTACTTATAGTTTTCTGCATCTACATTCTAACTTCTAAAGTAGGCTGTTGAAGCTGAGTTATCTTAAAGTTCACAACACAGTGTATACCAACTTCTAGAACATGAAAAGAGCACAAGCCGAAAGATTTCTCATAGATCGATTTGGAAACAGATAAACCTGTTTGTTGCTTTGGAAGAGGCCTGAGGGGGGTCTTTGCTGAATACTTAAAGTGGGAGAAAGTTTCAGAAATGTGATGGAGTCCTCTACATAGAAGAAGGTACAATGATAAAAGAGAATATTTTCCAATTTTATTTCATCACTCAGCTCTGCTCACACCCCCTGCGGGGCAGACTTGTCTGTCTCTACAGACTGCATCCTTTGAGCACCCCTTAATCAAAGGATCTGGGGCCCTGAATAGTAATACATTGAGAACAAAGATTCCAGAGGATTAAGACTGTTTATAATTTATCTTAGATGTCCTTGCACTTAGCACAGTGCTTATCACTTGGCCAAAATGCAGAAAATATTTATTCAATTGCTGATTTAAACTTACCTGTCGGGGGGGAAAAAAAAAACCACCCAACATTATAAAACATATCATAATACCAATATGATAATAGAGTAGTCCTTGATCTATGTCTATTATGTATTTGTAAAAGATTATGTTCTAAGTTTCTTTTAAAGTAAAAAAAAAAAGTTAACTTTGGTTATAATATTGTAATGATGATGTTCATATTTAAGGTGAAAGATTATTTTTAATGATTTGTTAAAAATAGAATGTCAAAAATTACCGAAGCTTATTAAGAAGAAATGGAAACGATGCTATTTAAGATTAGTAAAGTGTTTTAAGGATATCATTCAGACAATTTACTAATTACCCTACTTCATTTCAAGTAGGAAAATAAACAGCCAGTTAAGTTGTTTTAAAAGAGCTCTGCTTTAATAACTAGTTTGAAAAGATTTGCTCTATTAGAAAATATTTGTTTAAGCACCTAAATAATGTAATTATGTGCCTTCTAATTCTACATAGCCTATTCATTTTTCTAGAAAAAGTTCAGTCTATGATACCTCTTTGCACAGTGAGGTTGAAATTATTGAGTTCCCTCCCCCCCAACAATACTATACAATCTCCTGGAAACTGGATTCTGACTTTATTTTGCGTATTCACAGGCTTTATTTTATATATATATATTGTTTTTTATTATAAAATTGTGGGGTATAGTTAAGGGTTAGGTATACAAATGTGCATCGTTCAGGCACCCTTGTTAATAAGGGGTGTCTCCCCATCACAGGCTTTATATTTGTGGTCAGCAATTTAGAGAAATGTCTTTAATCACCTAATGCCAACAACATAATTAAACAAAATTACTGAAGAGAACATGAAAATCTTTTCTTACAAATAAAGTTTACTGAATCTCATATACCAACTGCATAGTTAGCAAAAAGAGGCTTATAATGAAATCATAGATGTGTTTCAGTTGGTGCGGAAAAAACTTACAGGCTCCTGGCAGCCTTCCTTTAAACAACACCCCCTTTCAATTCATCCAAAGCATTTTAATTTTCATTATGTTCAGGGGGGAAATAAACCAGCCAGCACATTTGTGCTCACACAGTAATTTTTGTCCCATGGCATGTAAGACAGGCACAGCTCCAGATATGCCTGAAATTCTAGAAGCACCAATGTAGGTCTTTCCTAGTGAGGCTTTTTCTGAAGCCCCCTCTTCTCCAAGGCTTTTTTTTTTTTTTGGCCCCCCAAAGCTTGACAGGATTCAAAATGGACCAGATAAGGAGCAAATGCACATGCAACAAAATGGAGTTGCCGTATTAAATACAGATAGCCCAGTTAAATTTGAATTTCAGATAAGCAATGAATAAATGTTTGGCATAAGCGTGTACCATGCAGTATAGTTCATGTAGTATTTGGGGCATACTTACACCCCTCAAAATGTGTTCTTTATCTGAATTTCAAATTTAATAGAGGGCTGGGCACAGTGGATAACGTCTGTAATTCCAGCACTTTGGGAGGCTGAGGAGGGAGGATTCATTGGGACCAGGAGTTTGAGACCAGCCTGGACAACATAGCGAAATCTCACTTCTATAAACAAAGCAGAAAAATTAGCCAGGCATGATGGCACATGCCTGTAGTCCCAGCTACTCAGGAAGCTGAAGCAGAAGGACAGCTTGAGCCAGGAGTTTGAGGCTGCGGTGAGCTGTGATCATGCCACTAAACTCCAGCCTGGGCAAAAGAATGAGACCCTGAATAAAAAGAAAAGAAAAGAAAAAAATAATAGAGCACTGTATTTTTCTTTGTTAAATACATTTTTGGTAAATAAGGTTTTTTTGGTCCTTAGACAAGAAGAAATTGGAAAAACTACTGTAGCTAACTTGGATAGTATGCCATATGTGGTACCCTTCCTAAGGAAGTAGTTAACCTTTTATTTTTGATCATACCATTTAAAATAATCTTTTTAAAAGTGTGGCATTAGTACCTTAGCATATAGTATTAAAAACCTATTTGGGAGGACTCATCAGAAGCCCAGGCCTTGCCTTCATGAAATATACTTAAGTAAAAAACTTCTCACATGTACTCCATGATTCTAAAATAAAATAATAAAAAATTAAAATAAAGAAATTAAATCTAAAAGAAATTATTTTAGAAAGCATATTTGATTTGAGGCTAGCTGGGTATGGTGGCTCACACTTGTAATCCTAGCACTTTGGGAGGCTGAGGCAAGGGGTTGAATCCAGGAGTTTGAGAAAGTGTACATATTTGGTTTGGAACAGGCAAAGGTAAAACAATGTGATCTGGCCACGCTATATCAAAATCATATTTGGCTTCACATCAGACTAGCTCCCTAATAAAATTAGGAAACTGTGGTTCCTAAATTTAATAACTTGCTCTCTTTAAAATTAAAATCTACAGAACGATAATGCCCCTCAATTTACATTTTAGTTAGGAACATTAGTTTCTTTTTTGATTATTACATAGATAATATATTTATTCATTGAGTGTGGAATAGCAATATGAACACTAAAAATAAAAGAATAATGACATATGGCACATGGGTTATGCTTTTAAGAGGCACGGAGGCCTTTGGAAATCTGAGGTGACAGGGATCTCTTGAAGCCAGGAGTTCGAGATCAGCCTGGGTGACACAGTGAGACTCCGTCTCTATTAAAAAAATGTTTTAAAAAAATCAGCTGTGTATGGTGGTGCATGCTTGTAATCCTAGCCACTCAGGAGACTGAGATAGGAGGATGGCTTGAGCCAGAAGTTTGATGGCATCACCGTACTCCAGCCTGGGTGACAGAACAAAACTCCATTCTCTCTTAAAAAAAAAAAAAAAGAGGCATAGATATTGATAATTTTTGTGGATCATGGGTTAAAACTTTTCTTCCTTTCTTTTTTTTAGAAACTGTCTTCCTCTGGTTAACATCTTGGTCTCACATGAAGGAAGGAGTAGGGAAGTTGAAAGAAGTAGATAGAAATGTTTCTTGAGAATAAATGATGGGAACAAAATTAGGTGACCCGAATGGAAACCAGTAATGACAACAGTTTATGGCCCTACCTCCGTTAACACCATTAACATCCCTGCAGTTCCCAGGGGGCCTGTGGGTCTCCGCAGACAGCGACTCCAGGCGGCTGACGGCTCGCTCTAGCCTTTCCACCAGTCCCTGCATGTCTGCCATTCTAGAAAAGCACAGGCACAAACAGAAGCTGTGTGAGTATCAGGAGGATTAGCAAACCAACACCACAACACATAACAGAGAGAAGGAAAATAAAAACCGCCACAAAGAAGAACAAAATCATGAACTCCGCAGCAACCTGGATGGAATTAAAGTGTATAATACTGAGTGACCTCTCACAGAAACAAAGATCTGAGTATCACATATTCTCACTCATAAGTGGACCTTGAAGAAAAGGATTGAAAGTGGCAGGAAGCTGTGGGGGTGGGGAGGTGGGATTGACAGTAGTTGATATCTGCCTGGGGAAGGGGGGGCATACCTCATCAATAAGTGTACTTGCATGGTGAATATTTGTACACCTAGCTCTGAATTGTACCCCACAATTTTAAAATAAAAATTAAAAGAGGGGAAAAACAAAAACAAAACACTCGGAAGGCCTTAATTACCTAAAGAGTATTTCTATGCCTCAGGAAAATATGTGAAATTCAAAAGGACATAAAACTTGGAACAAATATAATAGCAAATTGTACTGAGCTTACTTTCTATTCAATTCAGTGATTCTTTACAAGTAATACACAAATATTCACTCTATATGGCTCTTGAGTGCTTGCTTAGATGCTTCCTTGTTAAATGATATAATCTACGTATAGCATTTACTTAAAAGCCAGAGAATCTCAAAGTTAATATTGCCAACTCTTATTCTGCTAGCTAGTAGGAGCATATTTTAACTCTTTATAATTCTTTTTGTTAGAGTATAATTCTCTGGGGGACACTAAACCCACTGATAATCCTTATTTACTCAACTACACAAAACCAAACAATCCAGCCTAGGAGAATCATGAGTTTATGAAACTGCACATCATTTAGCAGGCAAAGAGGCCATCACTTCCAAGAGCTCATTGTTTTCCATTTACTATTAGCTTCTTTGATGCTTCTGTTGCTGAATGATTTTAAATAGTAATTATCCTAAATGGTGGGATTCCAATTCAAAATATGTAAAATGGTTATTTTTGTTTTGTAAGGCTACTGGCTATTTTTAGGCAAAATTGAGTCTTAGGTGAGGTGGATTTTGAAGACAGGCATCTTTGGCTACTCTTGGCTGGGATAGACAGGGATTGAAGCTGACTAGAGGGCTGGGATAAAAATGGGGCATCCTTCCTGCTTCTAAACGGATAATTAAATGAGTGTGCATAGGGTAAGTACCCACTAAAGTTATAAAATTATATTAAAATTATTGATCCTAGAATTTACATGTCATTAAGGCAAGCTCTGAGGAATGGAACCTAATCCAATTTGTCCAAGTTCATGAGATCCAGTTTATAGCCACTGTAACCCTGGCCACACGAACTTTGGACTGCTTTTGGCAAAATCTACCTGCTGTTCCTGAAGAGAGTGAAACATGCCTCATCTTAATCAGTGCCCGTTGCTCTTCTCACTCTTAAGAATTCTCCAAACATCATTCCGAGCAAAAGAGGAGCAGTATGCTTCTGAATCAGAGACACTGCTGCCCTAGAGCATGGGTAAATTTCATGGCTCTCAGATGTACAAATATTTTATATTTCTGCTGGGAACCAGGCAATGCATTTTTCTTTTGTATTTTGTATTCCATCAGTTTTTAGCTTAAATACAATGACAACACATCGCTGCCATATTTAAAAGCAAGGTTATACTTATCAAAACATGTGTATAGCTCTGCAATTCTGTGTCCAAATGTCAGATGGTCATCAGCTATGGATGGCAGAGTTCACTGTCTATTTTGGAAAGTCATCTCTCCTGAAACTGGCAGCAGTTACTCTTTCAAAATATGGGGCAGCATTCTCTGCACGGCTGAAATCAGCATCTAATCCTAAGGGGATTCAAAATTAGAAATTTCTCATCTATTCTTTTCCTCTCCACGTCAGAGCTGTTACTTCCATTGCAATTGAAGAAAAAAAAGGAAGAAGAAATTTAATTGAATCCTTTACGTAATATTCTTGCAAGGGAACTGGGTATCCTGTAGGTGGGTGAAGGCCATTTGAGAAATGATGAAAGCACCTCAAATCTTTTAATAGTTGCCCATCTGTTCACAGTTATCTATGTTCACTGTTACTCAACTTGCCAAATGTTACCACCACAGACCTAGCCCGCGATAGAAAAAAAAAAATGTGTTTGCTTTGTTAGCAAGTTCCCTATCCTCCAACAGAAAGGCACTCGCCACCTCCAGCAGCTCACAGATCAAGCTGTTTTGGGAAGGCCTGTTACATTTCACACTTAGGACTGCTGTCTCTAACTGTGGCTTAATCACACTCCCTGACAGGACCCAAACTCACATTATCTAATAGTGCTCCGTATGTTGAAAGACAACAGGAGTCAGCCCATGAACTGCAGGGCTGGACAGATTGGTGTGGAATGCAGTCGAAAGCAACTCAGGTGTCACTCCATGTAAAATTCCCATGAACAAGATTGAGGTCTTGCCACAGCCTCTAAAGAGGTCAAAATTAGCTCATGCAAGGAAGCTGGAAAGATGCCTATGGGTTTAAAATTTTAGAACAGTTTCTAAGAGAAACTGAAGAATAAATAGAAGAAAGACTACACCAGGATACGTGCTAGCATTCCCAGAGAGACTGATGGGGTCCAAGATGATCTCTCTCTCTTTCTTCCCCACCCCACACACAGACACACATATGCCCTCAGCTGCTATCCTGGCTCTCAAGAACGAGGAAAGAACAGAGCTGCAGATTCTCCAAATTCTTCCCAGGCAGTCCCATCCGCCTTGGCGTTCCAAAATGGATTTAGCCAAGTTTTGACAGGGAGGTAGCAGCCAGGAATTAAGAATTAGATTGAGGAAATGCATGGGGTAGTCAAAGCAAATATAGACAGCAAGGTCAGGGCAAGGAATGAGTCAGATACAGGGGGACAGACGGAGGAGTTTGGATCAAGAGGCCAGCCGAGTAGGGGGACAGGGTAAGATGGCTTGAAAGAAGATATTCTAAGAATCAGATAGGGAGCAAAGAAGCCAGTTCACAGCTGGAGAATTAAAAGACTGGGCTCGATGGTGCAGCTCAAAGTTGGCCCTCCAGACATTTTAGTCATCCTATTTAAGTAGAAGCCAACAGCAAGGAGAGGTCAGAAGATACAAACACTTGAGGATGTAAGGGTGTGTGGGAGGAAAAAAGAGGGCCTTTCATGATTTTCTCCTTTTAAAGATGTTTTAGGAAACTACGCTTAAAGTTAATATTAACTTCCTTGTTTTGTATTAATTTGAGTATTCTCTTTTGAATTTCATCATAATGAGAAACAGATCTATCCTTGTCATCTTTTTTTTTTTTTTTTTTTTTGAGTTGGAGTCTCACTCGGTCACCCAGACTGGAGTGCTGCTGGGCTCCGGTGATCCTTCCGCCTCAGCCTTCTAAGTAGCTGGAACTACAGGTGCGTGCTACCATGTTGGGCTAATTTTTGATTTATTGTAGAGAAGAGATCTCGCCAAGTTGCCAGGTGGGTCTCGAACCCGCTGGCTCAGGCAATCCACTCGCCTCGGCCTCCCAAAGTGCTGGGATTACAGGCTGAGCCACCGAGCCTGGCCTGTCATTTTTTTCTTATTTGAATTTTTCCCTCACTTTTTCTCTTTTAAAGTTTAATTTTTATTTTCATCATAGCTAAACATGACAGAATTTAAAAAGTCAACAGTTCAAGGCTTCTTACAGAAACACAACAGTACCCTGCCTATCCCCTTATATTCTTTGTCTCAAGAGTCAGTCATTTTCAATTATTTTAATTGTTTCTTTCAGTAACTACCTTCTTATCTCTAAATAACATGCTTATATCTCTGTGTCTTGGTTGTTTTTCTTCTATTTTAAGCACTACCTATTGAGTTCCCACTGAAAATATGAGGGTCTATTTTTTTCTTGCCCACTCCCCACCAGCACATGCATGCATGTTTTCTTTTGTCTCATCCTCCCAATAGTATCATATCACAATTTTTGTGTGAATACTATCCAGTGTTAACACAATTATGACTAGTTGCATCTGAGTCAGAAGGTATACTAATATTATTTTCCATTTTTTGCACTACCTATTTTGCTAAAAACATTAGTTTTAGTTTCTCAGTTTTCTATATACTTAAAAATTTATGCATCTCCAAACTTCCTCCATTCAATAGGACCAAACATATCTGGAATTCTATTAATTTTTTTCTTCTCAGAGGTACTTCTTCTGGAGACTTACTCCAATCTGCACAATATCTCCAAAGGCTTGCTACACATTTGTAACCTGGGACTTGCTGTCATCTTTATTCTAGGGATTTCTCTTCCCTCTCTCTTATTTGTACCTGTTTCCTGGATCCTATTTCTTCCTCTTTTTTAGTGCACTTAATTGGAAAATGAATCTTCTTCTGAAGTAAAGGTACATGAAAGGTCAATTTCTGAGGCTATGAAAGTCTGAAAATATCTTTTTTTTGGTCCTCACACTTGATGGCTAGTTTAGCTGAGAATAGAATTCCAGGCTACAAATTTTCCTCAGCATTTAAAAAATATTGCTTCATTGTCTTCTAACTTTCTAGTTTGCTGTTGAGAAGTCCAAAGCTATTCTGATTCTTGATCCTTTGGATATAACCTATATTTCCCTCTCTGGAGGAAGTTTTTGAAATTTCTGTGTCCACAGTGTTTTTAAACATTTACAATGATATGTTTTGTTGTCAATCTACTTTTTTTTTTTTTTTTAGTCAGAGTCTCACTCTGTCACCCAGACTGGAGTGCAGTGGCCACTCCCGGCCACCGCAGCCTCGACCTGCTGGGCTCCGGCAATCCTTCCGCCTCAGCCTTCCAAGTAGTTGGAACTACAGGCACACGCTACCACACCCGGCTAAGTTTTTGATTTATTGTAGAGATGAGGTCTCACTAAGTTGCCCAGACGGGTCTCAAACCCACGGGCTCAGGCAATCCACTCACCTCAGCCTCCCAAGGCGTGGGATTACAGGCTGAGCTTTGTTCAGAGTTGTGGAATTGACAAGAAATTGACTTTGCATAT